AAAAAAAAAGATTTGAAAGCACTGAAGTCGGCATGTCACATCTTGTGCATAAAATGGATTCCATTACCGTGTTGCCACATTCGCTAAAAATACAGCTCAGCGGTCTGACAAACATGCAGGAGATATGAAAAATACCACAAAAACATAAAGAATTAAATTGCTTTTGGTATTACTGCAAATACACTGCACAAGGATTTTTCGAGTCGAGAGTCTGTAAACGTGGTAATTCCTGAGGAATTTAAACATGACGGGATGAAGGACAGGGTAGAGTCGGACGACTTGAGAGAACGTATAGAGGAAGAGTGAAAATCTTAAGGAAATTAAACCTCTTTGCTGAAATGTAGTACATTAACCTTGTTTGATTTGTGACTGTAGTTTGTTGCTTTAAGTGCTGCGTTTCACATGGAAGGATTTGCAATGTGCACTGAGAATAAACTCCATTTCATTTCCCATTTTCTCGCACCTACTGCACATTCATTAGCAGTCAAAGACGTGCTAGGTTATGCAAAATAATTGGACTGAAGTCTGTCCTTTGGCTCAGTCTTTAGGCATAGCTCTTCGACAACTTCAGTTCTACTATTAGTATCATGTGGATAATAGCCAAAGTCTTGCAGATATTACAAATTACAAAACATGAGTCTGACAACTTTGAAGTAAAAAAGACGTCATTAAGATGAATACCCCCTACAAGTTTATGTCAACATTAAAAGACAGATCAATGCTTTTATATTTTGCAAGACTTTCAACCAGCATGAGACAATAAACAGCTTCAAAGAGACTGACTAAGGGGTGCCTAGACAGTAGCTAAGACAGGCACAACAACTGAACATCTTAGAAGGAGAGAAGTTTTAAGTAGAAATCTCAATCTTGCAACTTCCACTTTCACAGGGGGTTTTGCCTGTTGATCCAGGGCTACGATCTATGAGACTGTAGCCTAAAAATGGTTTCATGAGATATAAAAAAAAGATATATATATAGATATAATATATATATAAAACAACAAAAAATATTAATATAAAACAGATATATAAAAACAGTTATCTGCAGTTTCCTTTTTGATAAAATGGAGTTCTTTCTTCCCACCATCGCCAAGTGCTTCATCATAAGGTGTTGTCTATTTACTGAGGTTTTCTCTCTAGTATTTTCAGCGTTTTACCTTATACAAGCTTTGAGGTGACTGCTGTTGTGAGCTGGTGCCGTACAAATAAAACTGTGCAAAA